GTTGCACAGTCCCAGGAAGGAGGAGATGGGAAACCACTTCTAAGTATTCTCTACCTGGAAAACCCAAGAATGGGTCAGCAGAAGTCAGAATGAACTTGATGGCACATTATTATTATTATTATTGGCATCATTAGTCTTGATGCATATATAAAAGAAACAACACAATTGACACCAAGTGGCTGGCCTTCTCCTGGAAGCTGTTTTATTCTCCCGGCAGCATCTCCGGCCACACCGTAACTTGGTTTGCTTTTCATCCCCCATCTCCTGTCGCCAGTGCAAAAAGTCCAGCCGCCGGCAGGAGCTAGGATGCCAGCTAAGCCAAATAGGCCCAAACAGAATGATAGCTGGCAATTTTACAGACAAAGCCACAAAAACAAGCGACGGGGACAAAATGCAAGCTGTGAGCGACATTTCATGTCGTCAAAACACTGGGAAGTGGAAATCTGGCGTTCTGAAGTCTTGCATCTGTTGTGTGAGATAATATGGGGGGGGGAAGGGTAGGCGGAAGGGCCTGTATCAAAAGGAGATGGAAAAAAGAGAGAAATCCAGAAAATTCAGAATTACAGTTGCACAGACACTGTTGCTTCACTGACTGGTGACAGCACCATCGTGCCCTTTGGCTGTAACACCCGCACCACAATCTGGCCGATAAGGGTCTCCTTTTGGAACAAAACATCTATTAACGGCTGCATACAGAATGTTTTGGATGCAAACGAGAGTTAAAACATCCCCTTCTTTTTTAAAAAAAAGCATACATTATCTTGCAATTTTTTCATTCTCAATTTTAACATGGAGAATGAAGAACTGGAAAGACTAAAAGATTTTTTTTTATCCCGTGGTTCAATCATCAGTCCAAAGGGAGACGGCAGCCAAGAAATCAGAGAAAGGCTGAGATTCGGAAGGGCAGCCATGAAGGAATCAGAAAAGATTGCCAAGGGTAAGGATCGGTCACTGGAGACCAAACAGCAAGATCATCCACCCTCTTGTCTTCCCGATCACCCTATATGGTTGTGAAAGCTGGACAGTGAAGAAAGCTGACAGGGAGGGAAAATGATTCATTTGAAATGTGGTGCTGGAGGAGAGCTTTCTGGACATCCTGGACAGCTAGAAAGATGAACAAGTTGGTCCCAGATCAAATTGGGCCTGACCTAACTCTGGAGGGGGAAATGTCGAAACTGCAGCTGTCCTACGCCATGAGAAGGGTTGGAATAAGTTGGGGGCAAAACTTGAGGCAATGTAACAGCAGTAACAAGAACCTGTGGCCGTGGACCGATCGGCCCCATGTCCCAACCAGGCTCCCGTCTACAGAGAGAGGAGAGCCTCCAAGCGCCATGTCCTGGAACTTTTGCATTTTACTGAACCTATATAAGGTCCGTCTGGCTTTTGCCGAGAGCTCCCTTTCGAGAACAATGGCTTTCACCTCTGGAAAGTTCCTTTAGCTTCTGAGATTTTATTTCTTCCTTGGCCACACAAATTTTATGCCACCTCAGCCAAGACGGAGTTTGCCTTGCTGGCCAGAGTTTTACTGAGATGAAAAAGGCATTCCCCCCCCACCCAAATCCGGAATGCTGTTGCTACTCCTGGTCTTTATTTGTTTGCTTTTTAACTTGGCAAAAAAGGAGAGCTCCAAATAGGATTTCAGTCCACACCAAGTTCCAGAGAACCCCACTCTCAGACTCCAGGGGTGCAAGAAAAGAAAAAGAAAAAACAGTGTTTTCCAGCCGACTCCAGTATGTGTAAATCAGCCGTTTGTTTTTATCTGCTTCTTCCTGCATCTCCCCATCTATTAATTAACACACTAATTTAATTAGCCCTTTAGGAACCGCACACTGCAGAAAACATTTAAGGATGTCAAATGCAAGTTGCCCATTAGTGCAAGACATTAAAAAAAGGTTAGCTGATAAATGTTTCCCAGAGCTGCGATTTAACTGGCAAGGGCTTGCCCTTCTGCCGTTTCCTGTCACTTGGGATCTCCTGAGTTTGTGGCACCAGCAGGTTTTGCTTGGCAAGGGGAGCGTGTTGGAAACCGGGGGGGGGGGGGGGGGGAACCAGAGGAAAGGGATCTGAGGAGAGCAGAGTGGCCGCTCAAAGCGGCACGTGAAAAATGCTTAATTGACTCCATTAGCTTCCACACAAGGAAACCATAAAGCAGATTGTTGCTAGTCCAGAACAAATACAGGAAACAAGTTATACAAAGCCGTGAAATCCACTGCAGTAAGAGCCCAAGGACGTAATGTTTCCAAAACAACAGCACATGGGAAGAAAGTTACATTCTTGATGCACAATGTTACTCTTCCTAGTTACTTTAAAAATATAAATATACATTAAAGGCTTTTGAACAGGATGTTTTCGAGTCTGTTGCCCTTCCCTTAACAAGCTTAAGATTTTTGTTAAAGGACTTCCAATGTTTGCCGACCGTAACCCCAGGACCCTGAAAACTGCCCTGCCCCACCCCATAACTTTTGCATGCAAACTGAGCGAAGGGCTTCCCCCTAAACATAAAGGAAGATTGAATCAAGGAAGAGTCCTGGAAGCTGCCTTGTATCAATCCAGACCCTTGCTCTGTATAGTCCTCTTTCCTATTATCTACGTCATGCACTACCAGCAGCCACTGCCCAGGGTTGCTGACGTATGGCTTTCCCCCAGCCTGACCTGGAGATGCTTAGGGTTGAACCCACAGCCTTTTTGCATGCAAAATGTGTATTCTCCCATGGATCTCCAATCCTTCCATAGAGACAACCTCACTGGGAGACGCAGCCTGCCTCTGGCCAAGAAAGCGCTGTGGGCTTTTCAATGCTGCCGAGATGGCCCTACCGTTGGGTGGCAAATGGTGGAGGGCTACCTCGAGGTATATTGAAGGAAGGTGCCGGATGACCAAGCTGGTCACCCAGCATCCCTTAACACTCATCTGCTCCCTCCTGAGGCCATGGAAGATAGTGGTCCTCCCAACTGGTACCCCCCAAAAATTCAGCCTTGGCAATCCATCACCTTTGTTAAGATATGACAGAGCTGGGGCGGGAGGGGGGGAATGCCAAAACACAGAGATGAGCAAGATAGTAAGTTCCTCTTTAGCCAGCTGCTACCTTTGTTAAGATATGACAGAGCTGGGGCAGGAGGGGGGAATGCCAAAACACAGAGATGAGCGAGACAGTAAGTTCCTCTTTAGCCAGCTGCTGCTGCCGTTGTTCTTTGTGTTTGTTTGGTTGGGGTTTTTTGCTTCAGGGGTGAAGCAGGTGGAGGAGCCGGAGGTGGCATTAGCGGCGCTTGGAAGAGTTGATCCCAGAGCCACCAACAGGGCGCCTGTTCCTGTCCGAGCCTTTCCGTTCAAAGCCAACTGAGGTCAGCGCTGCGACGGAGGTCCCAGCTCTGCCCCCCCCGCCGCGTTTGTGGAGGGAGCCCTCCTTCCCGAACCCTTTCCTTTTCGTTTCCGCTCCAAAAACGCTGGCTCCAGCTGTTTCTCACCGCTGTACCTTGGGCTTCAAAAGGGTTTTCAAAGGTCAGCCTTGGAAAAAGAAGCGGCTTTCACTGCTTGTCCTTTGCCTTAGTATTATTATTATTATTTAAGGGTTTGGAGGAACAGATGAAACGGGTGGCAACAAAAGTGTGCACGGAAAGGTAGCTCTTATGATTTATTTTTTTAAAAAGAACCAGAGAGAGAAAGAGGCAGAAAACTTAAAAAATAAATCACAAGAACATCCAACTTTGAGAGCCGCTTAGTTCTGTAGGAATCAACTTGCTTTGAATCAGAGATAAGAAAACTTTGGGTGTGTTGGAGTGAACTTCCAGAGTCCCTCTGCCAGCAGAGCTACTGGGATCCCCCCCCAAAAAAGGAACTTTCTCCTCTCTCCCCCCCCCAAAAAAAACCCCCACGACTTCCATGAAACAACGGGACACCCTTTAGGTGGAAAGCCCCCATTTCGTAGGCAGAAACACTTTGACTTAGTTCTGGGTTTCCTTGGGAGGGGACGACGGCAGATCCTCTAAAGAACAGGCTGCCCCAGTATGTTGTCTTTCTTGACCTATCCTGATCCTGTTGGGAGGTCGCTAAGCCCCATGAGATTTCTGGCCTCCAACCAGAGAATGAGACACAGGCAGCTTTTCTCCCTTGGGTATCTTTCTTCTGTTTGCACAGAGCTAATACTTTTCTCCCTTGGTGAAGAACAAGCACAGAAGGATGGGCTGACTGATCCAAAAGACACAGGCAATTCATCCTCTCCCTCTAATCTAAACACACACACACAGAGAGAGAGAGAGAGAGAGAGAGAGAGAGAGGCAGCTAAAAGGTAGCTAATGATTTAATGGTTTAGGCAATCTGTGCAATGTGAAAGCTGTTGTCAAGGCTGACAGAAAATGCCTCATCTTGAAATGAATGAAAGGGGATGGGGGAAAATGCACACGAGAAGGAGACAAAGAAAGGATTCGCATCTTGGGTCCATCCCCTAAGTTGCTCCATTGTGTTGAAGGAGAGGGACAAGCCAAGAGCCCAAGTCTCTGCAGGCATTGCCTAAGATCAGAAAAGGGGATCTCTTCCGGCCGCCTCCGGTGACTAACTGGGTGTGTGTGTGTGTGTTCTTATTGTGCTGAATTTTGGAAGGCACAATCACCAAATGTAACTTTTCCCAGATCTTGGCTTCCCTGGCTGAGTGGGGATTCGAAGCCAGGTCCCTAATGACTTCTAAAGATTACCTGAGGGCATTTTAGTGTATTTTGGATGGGAAATGTTCAAGTTTTATGCCAGTCCTTTATCAATCATCTTAGAATCATCTTAAAACTGCAGAGCTGGAAGGGACTCCATGGGTCCTTGAGTCCGACCCTTGCCAAGCAGGCCCAGTGGGGGAATCAAACTCCCAAACTCTGGCCTTTAACTATCCAGCAGTTCTTGTGGGGAACCGGACGGCTGAGAAGCAAAAGGCAACGCATTGATCGTTCCCTGATGATGTTGACCAGGGACACCCCCGCCTATGCCATCTCCTCAAGTCGGTCAAAGTCAAAGGACTTACCGTAGAGGATGGTGATGAGCGAGACGGGCATAACAAGGATGCCCACCAGCATATCTGCCACCGCGAGGGACATCAGGAAGTAGTTGGTGGCATTCTGGAGCTTCTTCTCCAAGGAGACCGCCATGATGACCAAAATGTTCCCTCCGATCGTGAGCAGGATGATGATCAAGATGAGAAGGGCCGGCCAGTTCTTCTCCCCCAGGGACCTCCGAGAGACCTCCTCCCCCGAGGAGACATTCAGAGGATCGGAGGTCGGCAAGCTGTGGTTCAGAGTCAAATTGGGACTCAGCGCCCAAGCCATTGGGCTGCCATGCAGGCTGAAGTCCAGCGCCACAGAGCCCGTGGTAAGGCTGGCGAGGAGGACGCCGCCGCCACCACCTCCTCCATTGGCAGCACTCATCGTTCGCTGCTCGTTTTCCCCCTTCTCCTCAGGAGCACCTCCGCGTTAATCCTTTTTTCAGACAGAAAATGGTCCGAGGAAGCAGGGGCATCCCGTCGCCAGGGACCTGCCACAGCACGGAGCCTTCCATAGCGGGCGGAAGATGGCAGAAACCAAAGCCGGCCTTTTGGGGGACGCTGCCAAGGCCAGGCTCTGCAGATCGAGAAGGCCAGCCAGCCGGAGACCGTGGGACATCCGCGGCAACACCCGGCGTATCCTCGAGGGCATCATCCTGCAAAGGAAAGAAAGAAGCGCTTTCATTTTTCAGCATGCTTTCATTTTTTTAAAAGAAACCATACAGAGATTCCTACCTCACAGCCCAGGAACCAAAAACAAAAAAACAAATAAAAAACAAAAAACAAACAAACACACAAACCTTGAACAAACATGTAATCACAAGATGCCTTACGTGTTGTCATTTCAATATATAAGCAGCTCAATCTTCTGGATATGAAACATACATTTCCTTCTTATAATGCGGCAGGTAGGCAATTTCAGGAAGGTACGCAAAGGAGGGGGACCACGTTCTCGAAATAGCCTCATTTCCAAACTCCCCACAGGAGTCTGGGCTAGTGGGGCCGCCCCCTCAGCAAACCCATCCCGCCGAAGCTCTTCGGACCAGCTCTCGGTCACGAGACCAGTCGTCGAGCGCCAGGGATGTGTGAGCATCCGGGGAACGGCAACCTGCCCCAGGTTGGAGAAAAGCATTTGTCCCTTCATGCGGTCTTGCCTAGATGGATGTTCCCGGAGCGGGTCTGGAATTACACGCCGTTTGGAAGCATCAGATCTTGCAATCACACCAAACCTCTCCAGAATGAGAGAAATCAAAGCGTAGCCCGCATCTGGATCAAGTAAGAGCATTCATCTCACTAACCACATAAACCACATTCCCCACATCCCGACACATGCCATAAGCCACCTTCCTCTTTCTGCAGCTCCTGGTGTTTGCAACAGGAGATGTGTCCTACCATCAAGGGTGGGACGAGCAGTGCAGGAAACTTGGGTGTCTCTCCTTGGTCTTCTTCCAGCCCATGATCCTATCCAGCTCACCAAACAGAGGCTCATAAATCTGTTGGTCTTTAAAGGCACCTCAGCCCCACTGCTGGGCTCCGACTGCAGACTTAACAGGGCCCCGACGCCTCTGGAATTCCACCTATGATTGACCGCCTCACCCTAGCCAACTTTCAGAGGCCAAAGGAAGCCGAAAATAAATCACTGCCCTAAATGGAAGCATCTGGGACCGTTCTGCACATTTTGAGGTGAAGCAGGGAGGACATTAAAAAAATAAAACAGCATCTGGGACCGTTCTGCACATTTTGAGGCAGGGAGGCCATTAAAAAATAAAACGTGAGACATGCAAACTCGTGGGAGGAAGGGATTTGGGCTCATACAATTTGAAGCACTAGTCTCATTTTGGCAATCAGGCAAAACAGGCGGAGTGGGAGGAAGGGATTTGGGCTCATACAATCTGAAGCGCTAGTCTCGTTTTGGGAAACCATTTTGGCGATCAGGCAAAACAGCTGGTGGACCAGAGGAACCCTCTGACACATGGCCAGATCAATATCCTGAGATGATGGGGCCGTTTGGCGCCACAGCAAAACTGGCTGGGTCTGGCTGTGAGGACAGCAGAGGTGAAACCCAGCCATGAAGTTTGACCAGGAACTGCAAGATACAGAGGTGAGAAAAAGGTGGTGCTAGGGCAAACAGATCTCTTTTGCTAAGTAAGGGAGCACTGATTCTAAATATGGGTTGAGCATATTTTCTAGATTGAGTCTCAAAGAATAACATTCACTCTGGTGAATTTACTCTTCTCTGTTGTAACAATGAGAGATTTTTTTGTGAAGTACAGCACCTGTTTTGTAATCCCAGTGGGTCCAGGATTAAAAAGCAAACAAACAAAACAGTTGTGTGTGTGTGTTGTGGGCAGGCTTTCTGAACTCAAAGAGAATTCTGGTTTAATGCCTAGGATCAGGATTAGGGTAAAATGTGCACCTCTTCTATACCCCAAGGGGAATTCCCATATGCTGTTGGTTCAGGTTGCACAGGAAAAAAAAGGACTTATTTGGTTCTTTTCCGAAAGCTACCACCATCTCCATTTCATTATATCCGATGATGGTGTAAAAATGCAGGGATCATCATAGCAAGAAAGAACAGCTTGGCCACAGCGGCCAGAAGAGAAATGGGTGTCAGGAATCAAAGTGGGGAGAGTAAACAAGTAAGCTTCTCCCCAGTTCCCAGCTTGGCAGAGCAAAAAGAAAGCCATAAAAAGCTGAAGAAAGCCAGGGCCGCAGCCCACCTGTCAGTGAAGAGGAGAAAGCTGGCGTTGCAGGAGAAAGCTGGCAAAGCAGAACGGAGGAGGGTTTATTAAATCTCCCTCACAAACGCAGTGCTTCTGCCCTGCCAGAGACCGACACACCTTGGTGAAAGGCAGCAAAACCAACAGGTTTGGGAGGGGAACAGCAAAGAGAGGGAAGGGGGATTTTCTCAGCAAAGGAATGAAACGGCTTTTTGAAAGACCAAAGCAAGGAAACGGAAGCAAGGAAAAAGAAGAAGGAGAAGGCTGAGTCCCCCTGTTCAGAATGCAGCACGATAAATAGCTTTCAGGGGATTTTATGGGGGAGACGGCCACCTTCCGTCTCTCCCACACACACACACACACATCAGCTCCAGGAACATTGGTGGCCTTTGTCTCCACACAGTTTGTCCTTGTGGGCCGGTGAATTTGCCTCAGTCCACAGGAATGAGGAAATGAGACTCAAGATTCCTGTAAAGATGCTTTTAAAAGCAGAGAAGGGGAGGATATGCATTTCCACACTCCTCAAGGCCAGGATGGACAGAATCCAACCCAAGTGGATTTTAAAATACAGCGGGAATCAGTTGAAGTTCGACCACAGTGGCAAACAGACTGCAAACCTCCTGGGACCGAATCCTCCCCTCCTGCAATATATGCTTATACAAGCAAGGACGGCAAGTCTGGGGGGGTTGTCTTGGCCCCACAGAAAGTTTCCTGACCACATGGGAAGGTGTGGATCTGTCATCCTTTTGGGAGGGGGGGCAGGCAGAGGGAAGGGAGGATTCAACCTTCAGACTATGACCGACTCACCAGTAACAAAGGTACAGTACGTTGAGACGGATGCTGGAAGTAAGGCGGATGTGCCAGGTCCAATGCACCTGGAAGCCAAGCCAGGGCAGGTTGGGTCAGCCCTTAGCTGGACCACAGGTCCTAGGGACCTCCTGGCCCTAGAAGATCCCAGATTCTTCCAGAAAAATAATCCACCGTGAAACCCTGGAGAGCATCTACTGCCAGCCAGAGTTGACCACGGATGAACGAGCTAGAGCAGTAGACTCAGCAGAAGGCATTTCCCTACATTACTGGGAGGCTGAGTTGTGGATTATCTAATATGAGGAATGCCGGGTAAGGAGGATGGGAGAGGCAATCCCACACATCTCAGGTTGGGAGGGGCTGCCCTAATGTCGACGCACGACAGGTCAACAGCTCCCAGGAGCGCCTTTTTACTGTAACAGGTGAAAAACATGAGCCAGGGATGTCAAACACCGTGATCCCTCTCAACCTTCACCATCAATGAGTAGAGGAGGCTGTACTTAACTCAGGCTGAACCCGGTAAATTACAGGGAAGAATATTCATGCTTCCTGTAATAAAAACATTAACTGTGCATCCATTTGCCAGCCTAAGTGCAAAGGTTTCTCGGTTTCTGTTTCATCCTTCCGATCTCAAACCTTTTCCTCTTCAGCTAGGATTCCTCCCTCGTAATGACTTTTAGTTCCTTTGGGGTTTTATTCTGCGGACCAATCTGGGCAATTTATTCAGAATGGCTGTGCTTTGCATCGCAACGCTCCGCGGTGGCCTGTCCTGATTCACAGGGCAAGCTGGGGCTTCCCAAAAGAAGTTGTGTCCTTAAACTCTGAAAAGTTCCTCTTTTTAAAAAAAAATTGGCAGCTCTCTAAACCTGACATTAAAATTCCCATCGGGGCCTTCTCAGTAGCTGCCCCCAGGCCTTGGCATGCACTGCCCCTAAGATGCTAGGTTGGCCCCCCTCGCTAGGCAAAGACCTCCATTTTCTTGAAGGCTTTTAAGCAATAAATGTGTGTGGAGGAGGGTAGAAAATGCTTTATTAATGAAATTTAAATATTTTAATGGTTTTTAAAAAATACTTCAAATCTTGGTTTTAATACCAACTAATATTTAATTGTTTTTAATATAGTTTTTCTACAGTATTTCACATTTGTTAGCCTTGCATAGCTTTAATTTCTGTGAGCCCCTATGGGGAGAAAGCTGGCAAATAAAATAATATGAATGAATGAATGAATGAATGAATGAATGAATGAATGAGTTTCATATTCTCCATGTCATGGTATTTAAATACTATTTAGGATTTTTAACATCAGTATGAACAGCAAAATGCAACAATACCAACAACATATTAAAACAGCAATAATCTAATAAAAACAAGTGCTGCAGATAAGCCATTAAATAGAGGCCATAAAGGTGGCTGGTGGCTTACAAGGAAAAGCCACCCAATGGGATGCTAACTCACCCTGCTAGGTACATGCAGATCCATTCTTATTTTCTCTGCAAAAATATCACATATTTTAAAAAAGGAAACAAAAACCAAGGGGAGATCCATTCTTATTTTCTCTGCAAAAATACCATATATTAGGGGGGGAAAAGAAAGGAAAAGCAAGGGGAGGGAAGCAGACTCAATAATTTAAAAGTGCAATAAAATATAAATAGGGCAATGAAAAATATTGGACATCAGTTTGTGCATAAGGTGACCAGCTCTCCAGATAGATAACCATGTAAGACTGACGTGTCTGTGTCCTGCATTAAACATGCGGATCTGTAAGAGCCTCTTTGTACACTGAAGAACAGGGATTTATCTCTGTGCAACTTTGGTGCAGCCACTGACAAGGCCCCGTCCCGTGTCCCCATAAGTTGCATCACCAACACAGAAAGACACCAGAAAAGGATTTCTCTGACCTGCTCCATCCATGGAACCCTCTTTCCTATCTTCTCTGTCAGTTGAGCTAAACCTCCATGTTCAGGAGAAGTATGCCATCTGAACATTGTGTGTTGGAGTCACTAAGGGGGGGCAGGGAAGCTGTTGCCCCCCACAGCCTGCTCAGAGCCTGGGAAAATGTTCACAATTCTCAGAACCGCTCAGACAGTACGGCCAAATAGCCCTTAGTTGGCTGGGGAATTCTGGGATTTG